GTGCGCCCCGCCATTTTCGCTGTCGTGGTTTCGCAGTCAGAGGGGGCGCCGCCCCCGCCACCCCACCCGCGCGCCCGCTCTCCTCCTCGCCATTGTTACCTCCTGGCCGAGAAGCTCAGCACAATTGACGACTCAAATTGCAGTCAGTGACTTTAATGATTAAAAGAAAACAAAAACACAGAAAGCTCACATACAAATGACGCAGCGCATATACACTCACGAACACACAACTTTATGTAATAATATCACATTTTGAGAAAAGATACTAATTTGAATTATCTAGCCTCTAATTGTGCTAATCAGCTTCAATCCGCACTATCCTAAATTGTTAATCAATCTGGTTCCAAATGGAAAAAAAAATCATAGCAGTTCGTTCAAGATGAATTATACATTAGAACATATTGTCCACATTTTAAAGAATGTTTATCACAATACTTCACTCTAGATTTAAAACAAAAATTCTACGACACAATCTTCAGTTCTCATTTGAATTACTATGCCTGAGACACAGTACAGGAGTTTGGCGGCATTTCATAATTAAAAATATCCTAACACTACAATTGAAGACACTTACATACAATTATAGTAATACATAAAAGCAAATACTGAAGCACAGCTATAAGTTTAAGACAGGAGAATTGAGAGCATCTAATGAAGGTTATGACTACTGTCAGCTTAAGTAGAAGGTTTTTGACAGAGAAAAGGGATATATGCCTGGTGGGGGGAAAGATGTCAAAATTGCAGCAAGTAGAGTCATGATATAACAAATCAATTGTTGATGAACTTCATAACAGCACTTAAAAAGAGGAAGCATAACACTCTTATGTTAAAAGCCAGTTAAGCATTATAAAATATCTAATGAAAGAAAAAACAATAATCAGTGTACAGCTATACCTGATAAGCAACTGTAACTTATTTTACTATTGGGCGCAGCCCTAGAAGCTTTGTATATTTTAAAAACAATGATCTCATAGGTAGAGAGGTAGCAATGATATAATATCAAACTTAAATTCCACTCCCATTTCCAAACTCCACAGAACAGTTGATGAGGTTTCAATGTCGTTGGCTACATCTTTTTTAACATGCAAGTATAAATAACAGTGAAAGTCAATGAATTATGTGAGCTGCTGAGCCATTGTAGCTCTGCATATAATACACAAACTTAACAATCAAGATTACTTCAACGCAGAAACAACCCTTCATGTCAATACATCAGTCTTCTACTCATTGAGAAATGACTAGAAAAAAATTGATGAATAGTAATGAAATCAATTAAGGTCTATCCATTTCTCAATTAGTAGTCCAACTCTATGAAACTGAAAACACAGCAAATTATTGGATAGTACAGCAACAAGCATGTCTTTATTGGAGACATGCAAGATGTTTAGAACCACTCATTAGACATACAACATACTATGTTTGAGGCTAAACACACTGCAATGAGGATAAACAAGGCAAAGTCTCCATTGCACCACTGCTTGGTTCCCTGCTTTACTAAAATCTAAAAGGTATTTACAATAATTGAGAGATTACAATTAAGGTGGTAGGTATAAAAATACATAGTTGTTTGATAATCATAAGTAGTCTTTTATCATAGCAATAGAAAAATCTATTATAACAAGTGACCTGAAGAGACCATTCCAAATTCTTGGAAGCATAAAATAAAATATCAATATGTTTAAAATTGCACCACTAACCAGCAAGTGGTTTTAAGCATTGAAATCAAATTCATTTTGAGACATGAAAGTGTGGTCATGATATGCTTCCATTTACCTAACTAAATATGTATTAAAACAGGTGTCCCTTTTTCCTTTCCACAGGATAGAGTAAGTCCTCATTCACAGAAATAAGTCTCGCAAAATTGATGGAACCGTTCCAATCAATCAATCCTCTTTAGACAGTTCCCAAGACTGTGTCTACCAGAGTGCAAAATCTACTCCCCCTCCTCACTCTCATTTTTCTTTTTTATCACATTATTACATTTGTCTCTTAGTTCTTGTAAGACCTCCCAAAATCTGAAGCACATCCAAATTATTTGCAACTAATACTTAGCAGAAATATAAACAACTGCAGATCCATTCAGTCAAGTTATTCATAAAATGTAAAAACACATGCTATGTCTGACTTAATATCACATCATTACTAGACATACTAGATACAATGTAATGACAATGTCAAAAATACTGAAATTCCTAAAGACATTACAATGAGAAGTTTGCAGTTCTGGGGTCGGATCACGACATTCGTAAGTATGTAAATCCATCTATAGTACAGTACTTCTAAAAATTACAACACATTGTAGCATGTGCATATTATTCACTTCTCTGTTTGTACTTTCAAAAATTCTATGAGAATCTGTCACATTTCACAATTTATGAAGACTCTTTGAACTATCCGGACATTATAAAGAAACCTTCCAGTCTGGTTGGTAAAGTTTCATTACCCTAAGGTCCTAAAGTTTGTTCCTTCTTCACCGTCATCAGCATCAGATGAATCGTCAGCCTCATCTGCGTGGGGTTGAGGGATCATTCCAATAGAGAAGATCTTCCTCTCATCTGCATCAGCATCATTCGCATCTTCATCACTGTTGCTGCCACTTTCACCTCCCTCATCATCACCATCAGCTACCTCATCATCTGTGGCAGAGTGACTGCTGTCAATACGATTGTCATTTATTGAGTCAGCATCACTCTCATTCTCGCTATCCATGAGTTCATTGTAAATTGGAGGGTATAAAAACAGGTGAAGAGTTGTGAGCCATTGATGACCAGCCAAGAGCACCATAACTCCAGCAATTATATAAGGTACAAAACTTATTCTGTTGGGTGCATAAAGCAAAGTAAAAGTGGCCAGGACAAAGAGCATATCCACAACAACTCTATAAAAAGGCCTGGAATAGACAAAATAGTTGATTAGAGTAATAATGTAAAGCATGAAATGAGGCTAGGACATAATGATAATTTTAGTAATATGTATGCATAGATACAGAGTTTACTGAATACTCACAATCGTGGGTGAGGATATGCATGAATCCAGAATGTGCTGGAAACACTCATCAAAATAGCTACAAAGGGAACAAATGTTGGATCTGGAACAAGGCTTGGGTCATAGCTGAAATCAAATACAAAAATTATTAATTGTTCTGTACCAGCAAGAAAGCGGCATTTCCCATGATTTCATAACTTTCTTAAAAATTTACCTGTAGTTGTGGGCCCAAATAAGTAAGGATGGTATGCTTGGAACTATTGAGGCAACATAAAGCATGAAAACTGTCATGTATACATTAATATCTGAAAGGCTGTTGCGCTCCTCTTCTTTGGGTTCTTCTTCTTCATCTTTTGTATCTTTAGTACTATCAACTTTATCGTCCTTACTTGGTATGGCCAAAGCTGAAAAACAAAGTTGGATGTAAGTCAATAAAAATACATACTCACGTCAGTTAAGACAGCAGTCAGACTTTCAATAACTTGTAAATATTTACCTTCTTTCTCCTCAACCTTGAGTTCAACCTTTTTCTGATCTTTTGCCTCTTCTCCCCCCTTTGAAGATTTCTTTGATTGATTATCTTCTGAACCACTAGGATTAGTGATTCCCTCTAAAGAGATCTTTTCTTTTCCTGTCACAACTCTCATGGAGTACATCAAAAGGGCCTCCATGTAATCACTGTACATATTGCAGAGAACAGCATAAAAGTATACACCACCTAAGATTAAGGCTAGGGCCCCACACGACTTAAATCCAAGTATTAGAAGCAGGGCAACAACAATGGGAGGAGCTTTTATCATAAATTCCATGACATATTCAGATAAATTTGCAGGACTGATCCAAGCAGTAATTGATCTTTTGAAAAATCGCCCAATAAAGCTCAAAGCAACACCATTTACAACTTTTGCATTAAAGACAATAAAGAACATGACAACAAATCCTGATACATATACAAGACCAAAGGCACACATATACATTAAAAATGGGTACAACAAATTCTCAAGTGGAAGTCTTGCCATCATATTCATGCCCACACCAGCTTCTGGTACACCAGGGATATTACTCAGGAAAAAGCGGGCGTTGGGATCATCCCTGCAAAAAGAACAGAATTAGATCATGCAGTTATATTCAAGGGTATTTAATTTCTAAGCTAGGGCTTAGTGGTTAACTAACCCATGGTTCAGAAGTCTTGTTAGAATTTTGCACAGAGGAAGGACATAAAATGGCTTAGCACCACGGCTCATGGCTAAGTGAAAGAGTGAGCAGTGGCCAGTTCTTCTCAATGATTGAAGCTGTTCTCTCAAAGTCAACAGTAATATGGCAACCATGTAAGGGAAAATACATGGTGTAAGAGAGCGAGCAAATTGACTGAGTAATAGTCCAGGAGCAGCTTCCACACTGTAATAGTATTCAATCAGCCATTAGGTAACAATTTTAAGAAACAATTACAAAATCAATTACCTTATCCTTATTATTACCTTATTTTATAGGTGCAAGAAGGATCCAGAGCTATCTCAGCAACAACAGCCAATTTTAGTTCGGCACTCTTTGGTACATTTTTGGGCAGACGCGGTTTCACATGAAGAAGGCGAACAGGAAGTGGATCTTGCCTCATTTCGCTGAAAAAAATAATAACAGAAATAGATTAAACTTGTGCAAAAAAAGTCCGGATCGACGGTACAGAGACAGTCCTGATTCAATACCACGACCAATGACATAAGAGGACACACATATGATACTGGAGCAAAGAAATAGCACACAATCAATATAAAACGTATAAAACTCAAATATGAGCAAATTAAGCTGGATCCACAATTCAAATTTTGCAGAAGTTATCACTTTAACCCACTGAAAACAAGCTCATTGTCATCTATAAGAGAGCTGTGGTTCAAATTTTGAATTCAGGAACTTTGGTTTACCTGTCCTTGTCAAGTGGGCGAAAGGGGCGGCTGGTTGATTATAGCCTGACTTTATTAAAACGGAAAACTTTTACCTAGAGGTAGGCGACAACAGGCGACTGTAGAAAATTTTGTTAGTGCTATAAGAAAAAAAGACACTTACGTAATGTAACTGTAGGACTTTTCATTGCTCCATGGAACAAGCAGCATTGCAACTGCATGGTGCTCTTTCTTTAAACACGATACTGGCTTCACTACAAGATTGAGAACATGCCACAATGATTCAACTTCTGCAAAGTCTACAATATATCGTAATGCTTTGGGAGCTGTCTCTTCAACCAAAACTACGGGACGAGTGTCATAAAGGAGCCAAGGTCCCATAGCAGGCGGTTTCAAGACACGATTGGCGTGGACATCAATGTGAAATTGAACCTAATATTAATAAAAGGAAAAAGCAGTTAGTAAATTTACCAAGCCTGCCTGACTGTTTATGAACTTGAAAAACATACATACAGGTTCACTATTGAGAGGCATCCTCAATATTACATGAGAATACTTGTTCTGTTGTTGGTAAGAGAGCAGATCCAGCACAACACGTTTCCTTTTGTGATTCAAGCTTGGCCAAAACTGACTGTAGTTTGAAAGGTTCTCACCATTTTTGCTGCAACAGAAAATTAGCACACAATTTTTCAGACCATCAGAAGCAAGCATTTCATTTTTTTTTAAACAGCAACAACATAAAAATAAAAAAGACTGACCAGATTCTTGAATTGTTCTCAATGACATTAGCTTGACAAACAAAAACCCAGTCACTTTCCTGATGATTTATAGCTTCCACAGCCAGAATAGCATGATGTGGATGATCAACAAGACGAATCATAATGTGTTTGGGTTTGGCAAGTCGATCATTTCCATTGTTATCTATATTGCCAGATATTGATGTTTGACGGGGTAGTGGCTCTATCCATTCAGCTCCTTCAAGGAATGTGGCATAAGGATGATGGATTGATTTACGATACTGCTTCCCACCATTCCTCTAATTAAAAAAACAAGAATTAGATCAGTCACATTATTTTATAACAATGTTTTTTGAGTAATCTGCAACTCAACAGGAGCAAGAGCAAAACAGTTTTAATGAAATTCACCTTTAGAAAATGATATTGGATTATGGAGCGTCGAAGTTGTTGGTCAGAGCTTATTTGTTTGGTTTCCAGGTCCACCATGTCAAAAACTGCTCTAGCTGTTACAAGAACCAGCTCTTTACACCAAAGTATTGCCAAATGATCAACTGAACGCCATACTGTTGGAACAGTGGTAGTCTAGAAAGAAAAGGTGAAATGGATATTTGTGAGCAGATAATAATGTAATGCTTATTATTTACGAAGTAGATTAAAGGTAACATACCACTGTGTGGAGATCAGTTTCCCAAGAAGAAATAGAATCTGTTTGAACCAAGTAATCCATAGGTCCACCACCAACAGAGGCCAGAGTAACATGTGCAAGTCTATCTCCTCGGTCTAGAACCCATGTCTTTGATGTTGCCTGATAATATTGATATGTGTATTCATCAAACACAATAACTGGACGGTTATGGGGAGTAGCAAATGTGAGAATGACTTGAACTAAACTTGGGTCAAATGATGGGTCATTGAAAATTCCTTTGGCAATTAAACCGCTCTGAAATAAAAATGTATGTATGACATGTGTGTATAAGACAAAAATTATAGCATGATACAGTTGAGATGTACCATTGAATGCCCCACAAGCACAACTGATTGAGGCTTAGAAGCTTTTGTGTTTTTGTAGAGATCGAGGATACGATAAATTGACTGTCGGACAAATTCTGTTTGAGCTTCTAAGACTCCTCCATACAGTGCTGAATATTCTTCATTCAAATCAACAGTAAAGAAATCCAAATGGAAAGGTGAACGCGAATTGAGAGCTTTTCGCATACATACTGATGCAAGTGAGCGAGCTAGTAAAAAGAAAAATGTTTAAGTTCAGATTCAACCGTAGTGTTTCAATCATATGAATTAATAACATATGAAGTGTTTATATTCACCTTGTTTGTAAGAGCCCCCACTCCCTGGTATAAATAGCACAGGGACTCCAGAAAATTTCATTTTGCGCATTGCATCAATGTGATGTCCTTCGCTATAGGCATACAGATTATATCTTTTGAAGTTGTCGGCAACATGATCAAGCATAGCAATTTTCTGTAAAATGGAAAAATAAAAAATATTAAATTTTAAAAACTGTGACCAAGACAGGAGTATTTTTATATTATTTGTATAAGTGAAAAGGCGGCACTGACAAAAATTCCTCTAACCAAAACATGCAGCAGACGAAACTGACGTCATCCATCTACTCACCGCAAATTGAGGGTATTCGAACATATATGTCATTGAACATGAACGTTCTTTAGGAGCATAAATCAAGTAATGTACACCGATAGCATAAGCCACTACCACGGCAGCCGATAAAAGCGTGAAAACAGAGGCTGAAGGCATTTTGGCCCAACTTGACATGATACTCCTGGGCGTTGAAAAGTTATTTTGGGTGGGACAAGCGGCCCATAATTTTCACCGTACAGAACATGATTGAATAAAGCCCATGTCAAAGCAGGCAAGGAAGGTTTCGACACATTTTAAAATTGATGAAATAGTGACAATTAAGTCCAGAAAAATAATCCCGGACAAATTTAAATCAAGGTTTTGGAAGAAGCTAAAGCTCGTCTTGAACTTGTCGGCAGTCGAGGAGGAGCCCTGGCAGAGGCTATGTTTAGTCACTTTAGTCTGTTTCGTTTTTAACGATCGTCCACCTGTAAAGAGACTACAATGGACATGGGCATGACAATTTTACCGTTGCAGTAAAGGGGCGGGAAAATCTTTACAACACTCATTCACAAACACCTTGCATCGCCCACGCATTGTTTAGGGGTTAGTGGATTTGTGCTTAGTTCTAAGTTTGGTAAGTAAGTTAAGTTACGTTTTCATGGCAGTAGAAGCAGACCTACTGAGTTATAAATATTCAGATATATCATGAATGTGCAGACTTTGCTAAACCTCTAAAACTCTCTAAAGTAGAACTAGCTTTAAAATAATGTCATGATTTACTTTCATGGTTTTTGTATACATAGGCATCATCAATGTTTTATGTAATCTCTTAAAACATTTGAATGCATCATCACCAACGTTTAGTTTAATCTCTTAGTATTTTAAAGGTTACTTGGGATGCAATATTCCAGCGTCAAGTTGCAATACATATTGTATTAATTGCGTGGGCTCAGTGCGAGCTGCTATTTGGCAACAGCACACCTGTTGATTGATTTTGGAATGTGTACTTATATATGGTAAATTGAAAGTGTTACATTTATTCAGTTTTGTGCGTAGAACCTAGTAACAGAATCAAAATTGTTAATTTGATCAAAGTTGCACCACACTCGCAACTGTAACAGAAAAAAAAAGAAGTGTAGAATTTCTCAAACTAATTTCATGCTGCCTTTTTTGGTAGGATGCCTGAATGGTTTTGTAGTAAAAAATAAAGGGAACACTATAAGATGCTGTCCAATTTCTTTAACTCTCTTCTTGTGTCATTACCACTCATTTGAAGTAATTTTTCAAAAAATATTTTATCAATAGGAATTTTTTGTGATTAGATATCTTCCTTAAGCTGCTTCTACCATGGTCTATTTTGTTCACAGCTGACGTGACTTCTCCACCACCGTCCCAAATGGAGTCCTCCATGAGTCGACTGTTGCTGGCTCTCAGCGAGCAAACTTGTGCGGTAGGAGCAGTAGAGAAGGGCATGGTCTTCCTCGCTAGGGTGCAGTCGGAGGACGAGCGCGTTTCTTTTATACCGTCTCTTGCCTACAACCAAGAGGATAAAAGCTTGTCGCTATCTTTGGGCAGCATCGTCTATACCATGCCGTCAATGGTTCATTGCAAAATGTACCGGGGGATGTACCACGACCGAAATTTAAGAAAGACTCCAGATGCGGAAGCTCACGTTTTTCTGCAGTCCGCTCAAAGTAAACCGAATGTTCTAACGCTTTACCCGCCGCCGCCGCCGCCGCAGCAGCACCTCGTCGCTGATGCAGACAGAGTGAGACGAATCCTCGTGACCAGAGCAGCATGCATGCGTGAAGGCGGACCAGGCGGACAGACGGTTCGGCTGGTACCAATGGGACCGAGGGTACTTGCTGAAACAACTGTGAACCGTGTTCAGCAGGTTGTCAATGCTGACGGCATGGAGCGGGTGAAAGTCGAAGGTGGAGCCAAGACAATAACTATAGCAAAAAGTGGAACAAGTGCCTGCGGAAATGTCATCCACAGGCCCATTTTATCATTGGTGGACACGGTGACCATCATCTTCATGGTGTACGACGTCGCCACCACCCGCCCCACCTCAGGCCTGGGCATTTGCCTCAACCAGGCCCGTCTGCTCGGCGATCTCTGCGACGTGAAGCTGGTGGTGGACGGCGTGGAGCTGGACGCGCACCGCACGGTGCTGGCCGCACGCAGCCCAGTGCTCAACAAGATGCTGACGGGCGACTACAAGGAAGCCCGCGAGGGCCGCGTCGAACTCGACTTGGACGGCACTTCCCCAGCGGCGCTCAGGGCGGCGGTGGACAAGTTTCTGGAGTACCTGTACACGGACCGCATCCAGGACTGGGGCGACAGCGAGATAGACTTGCTGAGGCTCGCCGACCTGTACATGGTGCCGGAGCTGCGCGCCGACTGCGAGGTGCAGCTGTGGGGCTGCGACTGCCAGCGGGCCCTGCAGGTGCTGCACGCCGTCGGCCTGAACGAGGTCATCAGCAGGAAGCTGAGGCGCCGGCTCACGGCCACCGTGGTGCAGAGCATGTGGAGGCTGAGGGGCGACGAGGCGTGGGACGAGTTTGAGAAGACCTACCCCGTAATTGTAGACAGCATGTTCTCCATGCCAGCCCATCCACCCGAGAACTTTGTCCTTGATTGGTCGCTGTAGCTTATTTCAGCGAATGTTGAGAATGTTTTCCTTTCTTATGTGTGTGCCAAATAAGATTGTTGACAGCTTTCAAGTACATTAGTTAGCAATCTTAAAATAAAAATATGCATTTATTTTTGTAATTTTGTTGGACTTCGGCATTTCCCGCCAATTTCATGTATTATTTTCAAAGTTATTGTTTGCATGGTTTTGTTATTCATCCTGTAAACTTCGTTTAAACAAAATTGTTTAATATGATATATATTATTATTGTCTTGCACATCCTAACTCTTGTCAGTTTTCATCTGCCATGAACCGCGAACCGCGCTGAGGACAGAGTGGAGCGAGTCGAGTTTCGCACGCTGGGCGCTGCGACCCGGGCGCCTGGTCGGTAGGCAACCCATCCGACCCTCGTGCTGGCGGGCGAGTGGCGCGCCTCTCGGCGGGCGCTCTCCGTGATCCGGGTGGGCGTGGGCGAGCGCGGGTGCGGGTGGGCGGGTTAACCACACCATGCACTAACTTCTACGCGTAAGAGTTGTGTTGGCTGGCAGTACTCTACAGATGCGTCCTGACCGCGGTCCTGATATGTGTTCGAAAAACATACAGAAAAATAGTAAACAAAACAAAACAGAATAAACAACATAAAATAGTTAAAACTTCAAAATTGGGAAAATAGGGACAAAACACAGAAAAAGGTACAAATAAAAAAAAGAGATAAGCAGTCAGAAACACTGAAAAATAGTTTTCAAAAGCAATAAAAAAGTAGACAAAAAATTAATATTACAAAAAATAATGAACATTATTGAACACTTCCACCGCGAATTGAGCGTGCATTCGGGATGCCACTACAGCCTGGCGTTTTCATGAATGAGGAGAACAGTCGTCGTGGATGTCGGTGAGCCGCGGTGAGCCCGCGCGAATGAATGAAATCGATAAGTACAGCATTCTGTACGTGTGCAGCGGGCTCGCTATGTTTATTCCCCCCCCCCCTCTCCCTTCACCAACTCTCACTTCGCCCTCCTCCCGCACCCGATGCGCTTCGGGCGCGTAATGATAGTCATCCGACGAGGGCCCCGTCCCGTACACTCCTTCAAATACTTCCAGGGCGTCGTCCGAACCGAATCTTTCTCTCTCTCTCTC